ATTGATTAAAATAACTTTTTATCTTTTAAAACATCAATTTGTCTATCTTCTCCAAGTTCTTCTCCTTGCCAAATCATTGGTATTCCAACAGATGTAAATAAATGAATAACTACTGTTTCCATTCGAATAAATGCATCTGAATCTTTTTTTCCAATATCATGAAGTAATCTTTCATTATCATGACAAGATAAATAATTAACAAGATTTTTTGATGAAAATGAATATTTTAAATCACTTAAAGTTCCATGTTTATTCATTTGATCTTTATTTAAAGTAAGAAAACCTGTTAAACAATCATGAAATGATGATGACTAACAAACATCAACTAGACCACCATTTTCTTTACATATATCTTTGTTTTCTGGAACATATTCAGCTTGAGATAAAAATGGTTGATTTGAACAAATTGAACGTGCTAGACGATCTAATTTACTAAGTATTTCAAAATTATCCATTTGTTTAGCTAAAACAAAATTCAAAATATATCTTATCTAAATATGAAATTTGATCAATGACGAGTTGTGAAATATTTTCTCTTTAAGAGTTTTAATTGTTGATCTTGAAAGTCATAATTTAATTCCGGTCCCCAATTATATGGATCTTTAATAAAAAAAATCAATCTTTACAAATAAAAAAATAAGACATCTTTCAATTACCATCAGGATGATGTTTTCCTTTATAATACTAATGAGAAAAATAATTTATCAAATAAAGAAATATATTAATCTAAAAGAAATAAATCTACCCAATAATTTCGATCAATTTGAGCAAGTGGACATTCTTTATCTGTATGATTAAAAACACAATCAATAAATACACGTATTTTTCTCGAATGACATTCATCAACAAGTAATTTTAAATCATTTTTAGTTCCATATGATGATCTAATAGAAAAGAAATGACTTGGTAAATAACCCCAAGTATCATTTTCTGCTTCTTCTATTCCTAAAGAAATCATATTATTTGTTTACAATGAATATTTTATCGATCTATTTATTTACCCATAACTGGTGTTAATTCAATAGCATTAATTCCCAATTCAACAAGATAATCTAGTTTGTTAATAACACCAGAAAATTGTCCATGATCAGCAAAATCTTGAACGAACATTTCATATAAAATTAATTGTTTTTTTTTCAGGTAGTTTTATTTGATCATATTTCCAATGAAATTCTTCATGATATTCTTTTCCATTTTCACTTCGAAATAATGCACATTTTTCTTTAAGATTATATTTAGTTGCATAAGGATCAATTATATCAATTGAGTTTGACCAAATCCATTCTTTTTTTTATTCGAAATTTATATTTATGATCACCATTGAATATATTATCAACATTACATATAAATCGTCCATCAGATTGTTTATCCATATCAATCTCTTTATCATCTAATATAAGTTTAACATCATCAATTGTTGGAGCAAATAATGAAAACTTCATTTTTACAATATGAGAAAATAGTCGAATAAATGACGTATCTCAGACATCTATATATATTGTCTCTTCCCATCGAGTCACGTGTTCGAGCACGTTACCTACTAACTGTACTGTCAGAGAACAGAAAAGAAAAGGTAAAAGGAAGAGTTCAATGCGATCAATAAAGATAAATTTTTTTGCGTTTATTTCTTCATCGAATATATGATGATATTATATTAAAAATAAATATTTAAGATAATATCTATGATGAAATTCAATTCTTCTAACAATTATATTTCATAGAAGAAAAAGACTTCATATTTCATGCATTTATTCCAAGGTTGAACGATGTGTTACAGAAATATCGTAAGGAAAAATGTTGAAAAAAAGTGATATCTTTAGTAAGTGGTGACTTTAAGCATTTATAATTTATTCTTATTTTTATTATAATTCTATTAGTTTGAATATGTAAACAGTAGTAACGTTGATGAGTGATATTTCATATACATTAACTTAAAAAGTTAAACAAAGAACTACCATCTTGAGGGTGTGGGTGTGGAGATCTTGAAGATGACACTCGTCGCTTCACCCACCCTCAGGTTAGTTTTAATATATCGATATGTCTGACTACCACTCGGTGACTCTGTATATTTTCCTTGCTGGAAGAAAACGTGATGCTGACACGTGTAGATCAATAGGTTCTTTCTTTTTCTCTCTTTCTCCCTTTCTCGCATGTCTATATATATATATGTTGCAACGTACACATTTTTTTGCTTTCACTCTCCTTCGAGGTCAATAGTAACATTTATTTATTTAGATAGTCGTCGATTATTATATATAATTAATAAAATGAATGTAATCAAAGATGCTGTTAATAATCTTATCGGTCGAAAACCATCTGGCCCAAAAATTCGATATGCTGTTGTTGGAGCAGGATCAATTGCTCAAAGTGCTTTCATGCCTGGTATTTTAGAAACATCGAATTCAGGTGGAATATTTTTTCTTTTTAAATTTTCTTTTATTTTATAGAAATAATTGATTCCTTTAGTAATGACTGTCTTATGTAGTGATGATGCAGAAAAACGTGATCAATTGGCAAAACAATATAATTTAAAATCATATTCATATGATCAATTCGATCAGATGTTGGATGCAAATGAATGTGATGCTCTTTACATTGCTACACCTAATTTTCTTCATGTTAAACATGTTGTTCCAGCTCTTGAAAAAGGTCAGTAATAATATAAAAAAATTGAATTATTCTGATGTTATTTTCTCTCTAGGTTATCATGTATTATGTGAAAAATTAATGGGTTGTAGTGAAGAAGAATGCGAAGCAATGATCGCTGCTCAAAAGAAAAGTGGAGCTAAATTAATGATTGCTTATCGTCTTCATTGTGATCCAGGAAATTTAGAAGTACTCGATCGTGTACGAAAAGGAGATTTTGGTGAAGCACGTGTTTTTACATCGATGCATACACAATATCTTCGAGAAGATAATCATCGTGGTCTCAATGGTAAATCGGAAGAAAGAAAGAATTATTTATAAATAATGATAATTTGTTTTTTTATAGGATTTGATTCTGGTCCAGTTCCAGATATGGGTCCATATCCAATCAATGGTTCACGTACTATGTTTGGAAGTGAACCAATTGAAGTTCAAGCTATGGGATTCAAACATTCACATCCTGATTTAAAAATGGAATATGATACAGTTTCTGTTCATATGAGATTTCCTCAAGAACGAGTAGCATCATTTGTTGTAGGATTTGCAACAGTATTGACAACGTATTATCGTATTGTTGGTACAAAAGGTATTTATTATTGTTTCTTCTTAATAGAGATTATTTAATTCTATTTATTTGATATATATTTAGGTGAAATTATCGTCGATCCAGCATACAATTTTGATAAAGCTGTTTCATACACAACTCGATTTGGTGAAGGAGGTGAAGAAGAAAAAACAAAGAATTTTCCTAAAGTTGATCAATTTGGCGGTGAAACTGAATACTTTTCTGATTGTATTCTTAAGAATGTTGAACCAGAACCAAATGGAGAAGAAGGATTGATGGATGTTCGAGTAGTTTATGCAATTAAAAAATCTCTTGAAACCGGCAAACCAGTAAAATTGGAACCACGTAATCGAATAAGACATGCCCAGATGGATCAACTTCGATCTGTTTCATTTGGTAAACCACCCAAACAAAAAGATGTTATTGGCCGTGATTCGGAAAAGCCTGCTGTTGATGCTACACCAGATACTCGTTAGACATGCATTTTTTTATATTCGATCTTTTATTTGTTTAATAAATAAACTAGCTGCTAAGGTATATTGAAATAAAACTACAGAATTTATCATAACTCGTAATTACATAGAGAAAACAAATTATTTTAGTAGATTGAACATATATCTTCGTCTACACCAATTTTTATTTTTATTTTTATCAAATTTCTTTTCGAACATCTTTAAGATTAATATTTATTCCAGTGAACCATTAGAAAACAAATGATACTGCTAGTTTATTTGTATAAGTTTAGAAAACAAAATTGATAACAATAGTTGTGTACGACAAAAACTAAAGAATAAAACAATATAAAAAAATCTATTCTTATCTGTGTCCATTTTCAATTCTTAATTTAGCCATATCTTCAATATGTCGAATAATCAAAGCAGTCCATCCAGTTTGATGACTTGCACCTAATCCTTGTCCACTATCTCCATGAAAATATTCATGAAAGAGAAGAAGATCTCGCCAATGTGGATCTTTTTGAAAACGATGATCATCTCCATGACATGGTCTTCTTCCTTGATCATCGCGTAGAAAAAGTTTTGTAAGTCGACGAGTTATTTCTCGAGAAACTTCAAGTAATGTCATCATTTGTCCACTTCGTGTTGGACATTCAACTTTCCATGAATCACCATAATATCGATGATATCTAGATGAATATTAAACAATTCAAAACTTCATATTATCAAGCATCAATACTATTTTAGACAAACCTTTCGAGAGCTTCGACTAATAAATAATTTATACATAACCATATAGGACCTCGCCAATTCGAATTCCCACCATACATCCCACATAATGATTCAGCTGGTACATAAAGAACTTCCTTTTCCTCTTCTCCATCAAAACTGAAAGTAAATGGATGTTTTTCATGATATTTTGAAAGTGATCGTAATCCATATTCAGAAAGAAATTCATTTTCATCAAGAAGATATTTTAGTATTCGTCGTAATTGTTCTTCATTTGGAATTGTTAATAGATAAGTTAATCCATTTTTATTTTTCGTTGACTCCTTTTCAAGAATATGTTGACGAGGACCATTGTTCTTATGTCGAAGAAAATATTGAAATCGTTTTTTAAATCCAGGTAACATATCCATTCTCTGTGATTCAATGACAGAAACTGCCAAAAGTGGAATGAGACCAACGAAAGAACGAACTAAAAGTTTTCTTTAAAAATAAATAATGAAAAATAAAAAGAAAGAATTACCTTTCAAATGTTTTATCTCTCCACTGGCATATTTTACTTGATCATAATAAAATCCATCTTCATCATCCCATACTGAAATACAGAATATTCAGCTGAAAAATTAAGAAAAAAACGAAACAAAACTTTACATCCATTTTTAGCTCCACCAAAAGTATTAATAGCATGAATAATATCCACAAAATGTTCAACAAATTTTGAAGATATATCTTGAAAAGCATCATTAACTGGATATCCATCTTGTCCACCTGATAATTCAAGAGATATTTGCAGCATTACTACAGCAAAAAACGCTATCCATGATGTTCCATCTGATTGCTTCATCGTCATTCCTTCAGGTAATTCTTCAGTTCGATCAAAAACTCCAATATTATCTAAACCCATAAATCCACCACTAAAAAGATTTTTATTTGTTGGATCTTTTCGATTAACCCACCAACTAAAATTGAGTAACAACTTGAGAAAGACACTTGTTAAAAAATCTCGATCTCGATCTTTAACCGAAACAGCAGACATTTTATAAACACGCCATGCTGACCAAGCAATTACCGGTGGATTAACATCATCTAAATTCATTTCATAAGCCATAATTTGACCATTTGCATGCATATACCTAAGAATAATTATTTTAGAATATTGTAGAAAAAACTTCTTCATTACTTTACCATTCACGCATTATTAATTTCAGTTGACTTTTTGCAAAGTCTGGGTCTATATGAGCAAATGGAATAAGATGAAATGCTAAATCCCAAGCAGCAACCCATGGATATTCCCATTTGTCTGGTACAGAAAGAATATCTTGACATGCCCTATAATTTGAAATAAAATTCAATTGTTTATTTTCAAAAAAATTATTTACATATGACGCCATTCTTTATTCTTAAGAATTGCTTGACGTTTCTCATCAAACTTTGGCATAAAATGTTTTCCTTCTCCATCAAGCCAATCTTTGACAATATAATAATAAAATTGTTTACTATTAAGAAGTCCAGCATATGCCTGTCGAATAATATTTTTTTCATCCTTATGTAATTTCCCTTCATATATCGATTCATAAAAAAGATCAGCTTCTTGTTTTCGTTGATTAAATATTTCACTCATTTGTTGTCGAGTAATTTTTTTTGGAATATTACCATTATCAGATAATTTATATAATCGAAAATAGAATATTTTTGATGAATTACCTTCAACATTGAATTTATAATGCAAAGCTGTTTTTGTTCCTTGACATGTTGGATTGACAGCATCTTTTTTTCCATCAATTAAATATTCATGAAAAGCATCTTTTACATAAGATGATTCATTCTCTGAATCATATAATTTCTTAAAATTCGTTTCATTTTCTGTAAATAAAATTTCCGGTAATTGGTCATCATCATCCAACGAATTAATATCAAAAGCATATAAACCAAGTTTTTCATGTTCTAATCTTAAAATATTTTCTCCATCTCGTCGTTCAATCTTTGGTCGTGTATTACTAGAATAAAATAAATTCAATAAAGGAGAATATTAATTTAAAAATGAAGTATTACTTACATTTCATCATGATTAGCTTTCCAACTCCATGAATTTCGAAAGAAGAGTGTTGGTAATAAATGTATATTGGCTGCTTTATTTGCTCGATTTTCAATAGTAATACGAATTAAAATATCATCAGCATCTTTTTTAGCATATTCAACGAAAACATCGAAATATTCGTTGTTATCGAAAATTTCTGTATCAAGAATTTCGAATTCTCCATCCTCTTTCGTTCGTCGTTTGTTTTCTTCCACAAGTTGTTTGTATGGAAATGCTTGTTGAGGATATTTATATAGACTTTTCATATATGAATGAGTTGGTGTCGAATCCAAATAGAAATATTGTTCTTTGACATCTTCACCATGATTACCTTCTACAAAATATATTCGTTTTTTTCTATTCAATAGGACAAAGAGATCATTTAAAAAATCTTACCATTTCCAGTTAAACCAAATAATCTCTCCTTAAGTATAGAATCTTTTGCGTTCCATAAAACCACAGAAAAGCATAGTCGACATCGTTTATCACAAAAACCTAAAAGTCCATCCTCTCCCCATCGATAAGCTCTCGATCTAGCATGATCATGAGTGAAATAATCCCAAGTTTCTCCATCATCTGAATAATCTTCACGTATTGTACCCCATTGTCGTTCAGCTAAATAAGGACCCCATTGACTCCAATCCTTCTTTTTATTACGAGAATCACATAATCGTTCATATTCAGCTCCATGTGTTGGTGGAGGCATTATTTTATTGTAAATCTTGATTTGAAATTTAGTTGTGTAATATATACTATTTCTAAAAGATACATAATTAAATCGATTAGTAAAAATAACACACAGAATATATACGGCTTAGAACATCCTATTCGCTTTTCATCACTCTATATATGCGTAACTGCTCTCTTCACTACTCTTCTCGCATGAGTTGCGCATCTGATTGTCTTTTTTTCTCACTATCTATAACTTCTATATGTATAAAGTAATTCATAATATAGGGACATTAATAAAAAACTAAATAGTCTCATCTCTCTGAAGTATCTTTGTATTCAGATCTGTCGTATTAAAAATAAATGATCTACACCGTTGTTTATACACTAACAGCTAAAATTTTAGACTGATTGATATGATATGTAAACTGACTTTTAAGTACAGAACGCAAAAGTAGGAGAATGTCATATATATATAGAAGTAGTCACATGACTGAAAACGTGACTTAGCTATAGACAAAAGAAAGGAAAGTGGTTGCACGTGGCAAATAAAAAGTGTACTAAAAGAGCGTATGTCATACGCACGTTGAAGAGAGGGAAGTTAATACGATCGAATTTTGTTTATGGAAATTTCTCGAAAAACGTTTGAATACGAATAATGATTAGATTCGATAGAAGAACATTTCAATTGATAAAGCCAGTAAAGTATGATTATATTTAAAAGATATAAAATTGAATTCAAAGTAAAAATGACATTTTGACTCTATGTATTGTTCACATCGGTAGCTAACTGCGCTTCTTATACTTCAATTCTACTCACATTCATGAGCATATATGTTTTTTTAATTCTATGAAAAATGTTGGATTTCAACCGAAAAAAGTACAGCACTATTTGACGTAATATATTATAAAATGAATCTATTTCAATTAATAAAAAAAGTTTACAAAAGATTTTTTGCAAAAATAAAGATAGGAAAAAATTCAGTAGATATAAATCCAGTTAATCGTTCAGTTTGTGACTACGGACAGTTTTTTGTTTCTTATAAAGCGGATTATATTCCAAAAGATAAATAAATAAATTTAAACCGTCTTAAAAATTCACTTTTATTAAAAAATCTTGTTAAATATTATTTCTGTTGGATTCCACTTTTCCTCCCCTGTAGCCACCGATTCAGCTGCTCGACCATAATATGAGATGTAAAAAGAAAACAATAATCATGGATAACACGGAGAGAGAAGAGAGGGAGGGATATGAACACTGAAATAGTACGATCACCCCAAACCATGTTCAGAAGACATGTAGGTAGAGAAACGAAGAGATAGTGTAAGTGGAGTAAGTCTACGACCTGAGCCGAGAGACAGGTCGTAACACATAAAATGATGTTTTCTCTTGTTTTCCTCCATATTTTAAAATCATATATTAGTCATTAGTTAACAGATCAAGTTATGTGTTTGATTTGTACTGTCATTGTGTTCATAATCTGTTTTCTCTCTCTCGTTTCTCTCTTGCCTATATATAGCTATTCGCTTACGAGTTGTATGTATGCATTATTAACTTACGGAATGTACAGTACGAAAAACTGGAAAATAATTGTTATATTTAGTGAATAATTTTATAAAACAGAAAGGATTAACAAACTTACTCTTTTAATTCTTTCGACACTGTTAATGACAATGCATATGAATGTCACATCCATGTGATGGTACTCAATAGTCTAACAACTATCATTATTTTCCTGACTAATGTAGTGCTTATAATACGAGTTGTTCGTAGTCTTTTAGAACAGACAAAGACGCATGACCTTGCTACTACTGTTGTATTTCTATTATTTAACAGTTCATCTCTCTAAGCTTTCTAACTGAATCTCAGTTTAACCATCTTGCGGGTGTGGGTGTAGCTGTATGTCTTCTTTTGTTATTCACATCCACACCTACTCGCACCCATCCCTCAAGATGGTTTAAGGATCAGATTAATCTGAATAAAATAAAAGAAGTTCATTTTCATAAACTAGGCTGTGGATGTCAATGTGCAATACACATTCATACTCACTCACACCTCAGACACCATCAAAAATCAATGGAATTTTAGCAACAGATAGAATAACAATTACCTTCCTTTTTTGTTTACTTCAAAAGGATGCTTTATGGATGAATACAAAAGGGTGTAGGTGTGGGTCTCATACTATTGTTGAATGAGCACCCATACTCATACCCTTCAATTATGATATAGTATACTTTGAATTTATAATATTTCTATGAATAATTGTGAGTTAGCTGATTCATCTGAATATAAATCTTTCTAATCAATGTTTTCAAGTAAAATAATGTTTTGCTCATCATTGTTATTCGGTACTAGTGATTATATTATATACATATTTAATAATAAGAGACCGGATTTCTTTTTCAATGATTTGTTTAGAGTATAATTCTCATTAACAAAACTTCTATTTTGTTACAAAAAAAAATGGAATATCAATAAATTATGTATGATAATTTTCAGATTGAAAATGTTCTTTCTTTCTTTTTTTGTTTATACAAACACGATGACTACATATACATAGACGAAAACTTGTTTTTTTTTGCAAAATATGCGCACATACATACAAAGTTCTTATCCAACACGTATCTATGTTTGAGAGAAGAAAACAAAACAGCAATGTTCTTTACAACAAATGAAAATTGAATAAACCAAGCAAAGATGACGAGAAAGAAAAAAACAAAAAAAAACATTGTATTAACATGAACAGAGGAATTAATACATCGAAAAGAAAAAAATTTTTTAGATTTGAGAAAGAAGTCGTTCAACTGCCGCATTCACATCTCCCATTGTTGCTGTAAGTGCTAAAATGAAAAGAAAATATTATAATTAAAAATAATAAAGCGTTACGAATTACCTTGTAAATTTGCTTCACGATTAGTAAAACCCATTGAAACAAGTTGTTCTAATTGAACAGCATAACGTTGATCTGGTGGTGTATTCTATATGATTAAAAAAAACTAATTAAAAAACTACAATCAAAATAATCATACAATATTTTGATTTGACATCATATTTAACATCTGAGCAAATACACCTGCATAATTATTAGGATCATTTGATGCTGGTGTAGCACCAGTGGCTGTTGGATTAGACGGTCGAGGCTGAGGATTTGATGGTAATGATGTTCCAGTATTAGCTGGTGAAGATAAACCAGTTGAACCAATACGAAGACCTGCTGGTAAACCACCACTAAATAAAAATATTTATTTTTTAGGAGAAAAAGAAAATATTTTATTAATAGATTTACGCTTGAAATAAATTGGGTGCTGCAGTATGCAATCGTTGAAGTCCTAAAAGATAAAAAAAATTTAAATAATTTTTAAATCAAATTAATTTTTTTCTAACCTTCTTGTACTTGTGTAATTGCTTCAAGTGCTTCTCGATTTTGCATTAATAATTGTACTTCAGGATTTCTCATTTGTTCCATCATAGCTGGTAAAGCATTAAGCATTTGTTCACGTAATGCAGGATCATTAGCAAACATTGGATTATTAGAAACCATTTGTCTTGATATATCAGGATTAGCAGCAAGTGAATCCATTAATGGTTGCATATATGGTGCATTAAGAACACTTTCAAGTAAACGAGGATTTTGAACTAATTGTGACATATAATTTTGCATCATTGGAGATATTAAACCGGGTGAACTACCAGCAGCACCACTTGGAATTGCTGAAGTTGCTTGTTGTTGTTGCTGTTGTTGCGCATTTGTTGCATCAGTTGATGATTGTTGTGCTTGACCAGATGGTGCAGTAGTACTACCAGTACCACGTGGTGCCCAAGGATTTGGTAATGGATCAGTATTTTCAGTTCGTGTTGCTGTATTGTCTATAATAATCAATGAAATAAATAATAGAAAGATAATGAAAATTGACTAAGAATACCTCCATTGCCAGTAAATAATTGTGCAAATGGATTGTTACCAAATTGTTCTTGTGCTGCTGAATACATAGGTTCTTGTACATCATGATAAATACGTTGTAAAGCATTAAAACCACCTGGAATGCTCTATTAAAATGAATTTATTATAAAGAATTAGATATAAAATAAAAATTTACTTCAAGATTGCTTAAAGCTCGATCATGATTACGCATTAGTTCTTGTAATGCTGTTGGATTACGAGCAAATTCCATTGTTTGTCGAAGTAAATCAGGATTATTTAATAAATGTGATATTTCAGGATTACGCTTGAAAATAAAACAAACATTTCAATCAATCAATCATATATTTCTTTATTCCGATCAACTTACTTCCATTAAATCACGAATTTGAGGATTACTAAGTAATAATGAACGTAACATATCAGGATTATTTGTTATACTTTGTACAACAGGACTATCCATTAATTGACGAAGCTGTGCTGGATTACTCATTATCTAGTTAATATAAAATGTATTTAGTTATTCAATTTTATAATTGATATACTTGTTGTTGAAATTGTTGTTGTATATCTGCAAAATTTGTATTGGCAAAATTCAAATTACCCATACCAGGCATACCACCTAGTCCAAATGGAAAAGCATTAGTTGGATTTGATTGTTGAGTTTGAGATGGATGAGTTGAAGACTAAAAGAAATTAATATATAAAAAAAAATCATTGAAAAATAAAACATTATTTTTAAGTCAAAAGCAATTAGATTAAATTAGTTATTTATGTAGAGTTTTATTTTACAATAGAATTAAATGGTTATTTCGAAGCTAGTTCATTGCAATCTCAATCGCTTACATTTATCTGCTCGTTGCTTTCTTTTTGTCTACGATTGAAAATAATAATTAATAAGTCAAGTTTATCGGATTAGATTTTATGAAGAATGTTTAGCATATGTATGAATGCTTACTTCTGCTTGAGTTCCAGGTGATGCTGAAGCAGTAGATACATTTGGTGTTGTATCTGATTTTGGTGCTCGAATAACCAAATGAATCGTAACACCATCTTTTATATCTATAAAAATAAAACAAAAACATATTGACAGATAATGTAAACTTGTTCTTACCATGTTTTTTTAAATCTTCATCATCTTTGAGAATTTTACCTGAATATATAAGACAAATCTGATCATTTGATGTACTAAATTCATTAGCGACTACATCTTTTAACTACAAGAGATTATATATTGTTGATAAAAAATTAAAAAAAAACCAAGATTTTTACTTGTTTAACAGTCGATGATGCATCAATTGATATATCTTTTTTTT